GTCCGGACAAAGTGCGTGAAGTGCGAAATCGGACTCTGCATTTCCGGATTTTTTTGAGAATTCCACACGAAGGCAACATTCCGGCAGATGACGCAGGTGGGAAGACAGACCCTCCATGCAGATGGTGGCCAAAAATTATATAAGTAGGACATTATTTTCTACCTTAAAAATGTATTTCAAATAACGTCCGCACGCGCGGACTGTGCGACCCCATATGGGGCCATTCGTACCGCTGACTTTATTCTTGCGACCCCATACGGGGCCATTAGTCGTTTAAAGGTTAAATGCAGGATTCTTTGCAAATATTTTGCCAGAATACTTTGACATAGGCTTTCTCCAAGTCTTAAACTTGGTATGTATCTTGCCACTATAAGAAGTCCATGTTTGTTATGCTTACCCTATTGAAATGTGTGAAAGGTATTTACAGTAGTGATCTTTAGCTTGTCAAATGTGTGAAAGTCCTGAGAAACAGAAGAAAATTGTCCTGGCAGTGAAACATAAGATTGAATGGCAACAAAACAAGGCAAAGATTATGGCATAGGGTTACAAGCTATACATGATATAAAGAAAAATAAGCCTAAGCTGATGAAATTTATAAGGAACTGCTGTAATAATGCTGGACCTTCTAATATAAGAGTGTAAAAAGTCATCAAACAGTGTGTTGAATGTTGTGCTTCTGCAGTGGCTTTGTTGCAATAAAGGAAAGGAATGCCCACCTTAGATCCCACATGCACAGAAAACCAAGTACTTATGTAAATCATTGGATTTGGGAATTAAGTACAAGGCCTCATCTGGATGGCTGACTAGATTTAAGCAAATTCTTGAAATTTCTCTGTAGGAAGAACTCCTTATAGCCAGTGCTGCTGCAGTTGATTCATTTCACATTGGTGGATTTCAGAAATTTGTGCAAATTTCACCAAATTGCCAATACCAGTGAGTCAGAATTTCAGTGAAACCTCCGTTTGGTGTTTCTTTGGGAGCAGTGGATTCGAATATTGAACTAAGGAAAGTCTTAAATTGAGAAACATTCCACTGTAACAAGGATATTTATAATTTGTACTGTTCATTTAATATTGTTAATGATGGTTAAATCATGAAAGATATATTGGGGAAGATTTGTAGCATATATAGAGGACACAGTTTTGTTGGAAACAGTTTCAGAGTCCCAGGCATAGATGGGTCGATGAAGATCATGATTATGATACTAAAATGGAAGTTAAAAAAATACGTTAACGTGTGACTTGGTTTCCTGGCTCATGGTAAGGTCCATGACAGTCTTATGGTTGTCATGATGAGCCATTGGGATTTCTTAGCCAAAGGAATAATCATCTGATACCTTAAGAAGATTCTTATAGCACAGAGCCAGTTATCACTCATTCATTGATCTCCAAATCTTTCTGCTTGTATCTGCCCTCAGTGCTTTCCTTTTTGTTATAGGAAAAACACAAGAAGAAGGATGGAAAGGGCAGTGATGTTTTTATGTCTGCTGAGGAATTTTCGGAGATGCTTGACAGTGTAGGAGCATCTGGTCTAAAATTGTCTGGATCTTCTGCTCTTTCCAACAGAGATAATGCAGGTAAGTACTGCCCATGTTGAATTGTGTATTGAAGCAGAAGACTGAAACTTCTGTATAATAATCCATACCAGTGCTCTTTCTTCATACTGCAGAAGAACTCAGAATATTAACACATAAAGGACCGGTCGCACGGTATCATGCTCTTTGCTTTTAAACGTAGTGGACCGGTTGCATGATATCATGATTCTAGGACACATTAGGTTGCAACACACTAAACCTTGCTCTCTTGCCACGCAACTGCATGACTACTGCATAATAAGACTCCGGAATGTTTGCTTAGTATTCAGTAACATGACCTCACTGTTATGTTAACCCATTACAAAGGAATTCAAGCTGTTTGTACCAGCCAGTAAGTTAGTAGTGGAATGTAGCGGCCTCTGTAGTCTAGAGGTAATGTTCCCACCTCATGACTCGTAGTACGTGGGTTCAAATACCCAGTGAAGGTCGTCGAATTTTTAAGGGCGGAAAAATTCAGGGAGCAAGTCCTCTGGGAGGGACTTTAAGCCATGGGTCCCATGTCATAGCTTTACAGCACGTAAAAGAACCTCATACCTCCAAAGGAGATCACTGAGCAAAATTGCGGACGTTTGCCGCCCAGCAGCAGTCACTAATACCTCCGGTAGATGGGGGAAGCATTATAGATACTTCTCAGTCAGTAGAGCCGGTCTCGCTGGCTGGGTGGGACTGATGGTAAGCACCAATACCGGTAGGATATAGAGGCTGGTAGAAATCATAGAGGGAAGCACAATGGACCACTACAGGTCTAAGTGCATGGGGAAACCCACCCTCTCTAATAACTAACTAACTAACTAACTAAACTAGTAGTAGAATATGGATCAAGGACAAATTCTTCTCCGATGAGCTAGCTTACGTGCCTTGTGAGGCGCATAGTGATGGTGACTCAGACAGTGGCAGTGACAGGGGACAACAAAGAATTGTGGCCACAGATAGTAAAAGTGACAGTAGCTCTGACGAAGATGGGGGTAGTAAGATTGCGGGGACTGCAAAAAATCTAAAAAAACTCACAAAAATCTAAACCCTGATTTGAAATTGAAATACAAAGCATTTCTGATGAATGTGGCAAAGGCCTGGGATACAGACCAGATGGTGGCAGCAGAACCAGAGTCAGACACAGACTTGGTGCGACCGGGCTCATCAACTCCCATCCCACACAGGCCTCATGTGGACCCCTCAGGGCGACTCTCGGGTGATATGCGGAAACATACCCTCATGAAAATTGTGAAGAGTGAACATTCCAAGGGGAAGCATCCTTCTAGGCAATGCCGTGTTTTCACAGTTCTCAAAAAAAGGAGTATGTCTACATTTGCAAGTTCTGTGTAATGCCACTTCACAAAGGGGAATGTTTCCAGAAATATCACACCCTCAAGCACTTCTAGGAGCATTAGTAAGTGTTCTCCAAAAATTTTAGTTCATAAGATTAATTATCACCGGTCTGCGAAGTGTTAATTAATGTTGTGGCTGCATTATTTTTTGTGGTTTCTTCAGTTTCTTCAAGTGAATGCCAGTGTATGGATTTAAGACATGCTACAGTTTTTCACTCATCTCTAAATATTATCCACTGATGGGTTATGCCACTTGAAATTGATGGCATTTAAGTATGAGGGCCAGAGCTGCATCATTGCAGTGACTGTGACCTATCATTATTATTAGTACAAAGGTTTCAATTCAAACGTTGGTTGTTGACTCCTCAATTTATAATTAACAAGCTTTTATTGTAAAATTTACTGTCTTCAAACGTTAGATGTAGTTATGTAGTTATGTGGTATTGCTTACCACAGAACTTATTTTATCATTTGTAGTTCTTTCTCATGCCATAACTAAGGCAAATTACACACTGGCATTTCACCTCTGAGCCTTGGCTTCAGTTCCAGGTGACACCACATGAGATTCATGATGGATGAAGTGATGCTGGAGCAGGTTTTTCTCCACCCACCCCCCATCATGCCTACATTGCTTCATTCTCACATGTCATTGCTCCCTGTGGTGTGCAGTAACTGACCAGGCAGCACATTGTCACTTTATCGGTCTTTAAGTTTGAAGCTTCATCTCTTTGGTTACAGAATAAGGAAGCTCATTTCTTTATTAATCTATAGTTCTTGCAGATATGTTCATATTGCTTCATATTTAGTAGTGTGTATCTTGCTAGTGACCCCAGGAATTGAATATATAAAGATGGTAGGTTATGTTGAGTTACATTTTATGTTCATGATTTACTTCCATGAAGACATGTACTTTCTGCACTGCCACAACTTTATATTCCAGTAATTTTAATAGAAATTCTTTTAAACTTTTTATTTTAATTTTTTTTGTGTCATGTGTATTGATAAATTTGGTTAATTTATATTCTCTGTCCTACAATAACAACATGGATACATAGTACTTGTTTCGTATTGTCACATATCACACTGCCTATAGACGGGGTTCACATTGGCATTTGGATTTATTAACAACCTACTGGTCGTAACTACAGATAATTCTTCCACTTGACTTGGTTCTTCATGGTTCGTCACACTAGTAGTGGTATAAAATGACTCATAGCACTGTCCAGTGTGATTGATTTATAAAAGTTGTATTTCAACATTTAGGAAACCTCTATTACAAAGTCATTAATATATAAAAGTTATACCTTGTAAGTACATTAAGTACTTGAAGTGGTTGGAACATTTGTAGGTTATTATAACTAAATAATAAAGTATTTAAAAGTAAAGTTATAAAAACTTTTTGTTAAAACTAGAACCAGTGGTTCGTGTCTTGAAATATCTTCTCCTTAAAAGAAGGAGATTGTCTGTCACGATGTAGTTTCAATGCCTTTAGTGTCATGGTCCCATTGTGCAGAGCACAACATTGGATGGTGCTACAAGTCATTTTATACTAATTCTTACCGCTTTACACAATTTACAGACACTCCACACTAATCTCTTCAGTCTATCAGTCTAATGTTCACAAATTTATAACACAGGAACTATGAGAGTCTCACTGAATTACTCACTCCAAATATTGCACATAAATAAAGTCTTCTAATCATACATTTAGTCTGCACAGGCCAACTTCTAATTCTTCTTCAGCTATGGACTTCCTATAGCTATATCCTACAGAGAAATGACACGCTTGCTTGTTTGCATGCTTCTGCCACTATTACTGCTACCCGTAGCTGCCCTGAACGAATTCTGTCACTTATGTAGCCATGGAACAGACATGTATAGTTAGTGCCTCATAACTTTAGCCGCACGGAAAGGTAAACGCTGTTGTGGCACACGTGAAGCTGTAAGCTTGCTGTGGTAATGTTCAGAGCTACTCCCCAAGCGGAAAACATTGCCTATGGAGACCAACTAACAAGCAACACAACATACTACACACCTGACCACACTCCAAGATGCTACATTCCAAACTGATAGTACCTGTGCTGACATAAGCTGATAAGACTGCCCGCAAGAGATGGTATGACCCCTCTACCACGGCTAGAGTTCCAAGGAACTAACAGTAGCTGCAGTACACATATCATGTGATTGCAATCCAGCCAGTCTATTGGCGCTTCGGTCAGATCAACAGGAAACACAGCTTCTTCTATTGTTGTGTCTTGGACCGTGTTTACAGAGCTTTTTCCTGGCAATATATTGACCAAATCCGTTACTGTATGTTATGCTATACCAAAATTGTGTTTTGTTATATACTTTGATGGATTGATATTGTTAAGTTCAGAACAATTAAAACAGTTCATAATGATTGTAATTATTATTTCAGGGGAAAAGCAGTTGAAGTGGGAGACTGAACGTGATTTCTGGTTCAACAGAGGAAAGAAGCAACCTGGGAAAAATAACAATAACAAGAGAAAGTGGAATAGCCGATCACATGGAAAGTGGAATGAAAAGACAGCTAAGAGAAGAAAGAAGAAGTGATAGGAAGTGACAGAGTGTAACATATGCCTCTTATGTTAAAACTTGTCATTCCGTGTTGTTGAGATCATCAAATGTGAAGTTAGATAGGGAAACACAGGAGAAAAGTGTACTTATATAATCTGAAATAAATCAGTGACTATTTTAAATGTCTTTGCTGCCTGATCTTGTTTTAAACTGTTGTCGTAGAATCTTAATTCAGTTGTCTCATCATGACCCCGCCTTCAGTTTGTTGATCCTGTTGAAGTTATGTAAAACATGTCAAAAACAGCATTCAGTTTTTGTCATTAGAAGGGAAGAAATTTGCTGTTATTTCTAAGTTTATAAAATTTCAGAATTATGTGCTTTTCCCATTTTGCTTTCCTGTATACAGGGTGTCCCAGGAGGAATGGAATGCCATTCCTTATGTTCCTTATGTTAAAGTATGCCGATATAACCCAAAACACCTATGTCCAAAGTTGAACGGTTACGGAGATAATGGCCCAAGAAAAGTGTGGTCTTCTGGCGGGTCCACGCACTGTACCTGTCAGCTGAGAGGCCTTATCTATGTTTGCCCTTAAGTGCAGTGATTCACCCTAGCCGTACTTATGTAGTTGGCCTATACCAGAACGCACAGTCAGCACGTTACGTCAGCGCTTGCCAGTCATGTGTCATGTATAGTGCTTGGAAACCCTAAGGACAATTATGACATGGCGAGCGAGTATTTTGTACTTCAATTTTATGGCTTCATGTCACTCACAAGTTAGTTTGATGTTACGTACATTATTAACATTACAGAACCCACATATTCCTGCCAGTTTTAATATGTATTTTGTAATCAACAAGTGTGCAACGCTGGTCAAAGTTTGACACTTCTCTGGCCATTATCTCCGTAACCGTTCAACTTTGGACAGAGGTGTTTTGGGTTATATCGGCATACTTTAACATAAGGAACACCTTCCTGAAGTTTGGTCCATTCCTCCTGGGACACCCTGTATATTACCATGCACCACGACCAGCATTCCAAACTTGGATTTAAATTTGTCATAACTCTTAGAAGGTGGCATTCTAATCCTCTAAATACAAGAAATTCTCTTCTTATTTCTTCAGTGGTGAGTGAAAATTGAGATTTTTTCTTTGCCTTTATATTAAAATAGCACTGGAAAATAAATGAAAGTTGCAATATTTGTTGGCAAAATTAATTTGAAAAAGAGTGCATCTGTGCCCTTTTCATGATTTCAAGTTGTGCATTCTTACAAACGATATTTGTGCTTCAAATTTTGAAATAATTACATGTTACATAGTCGTCATCTCATGTGAAAAGAAAATTTCAGTGTTTTTTCCGCCTGTTGTAGTGACCAGTTTTTCACCTCGAGTTCCAACTTCATCATAAACATTAAATTTCCCTTTTGATACCAGCAGACAGCAGTTATAGTGGGAGGTTCTGCTGATGATAAGGTAGGTGCAGTTTTTGTAATAATGACCAGCTTAAGATATGTAACCTTGAATTACGAACTAACAGGAAAATTGAGAAAATCATATAAGGAGCTTCAAAGTTGCTGCATATCTTCTGTTGTCAGGATGATAAAATCAGGGGTCTAAATGGGCAGGAAATATAAGGAACATCTGTAATATAAGTGCATATGAAATTTTGGTTCATAAACTTAATGGGAGGGAACCACCTCTGAACCTCTGAAATGGAGCCATTGATGGGTAGATAACTACTACTTTTAAGTGTTGCAATTTTAGCTGATCAGTTCCTTAATGACAGGTTTGTTGCGAGACTAATGCGAAATTAGGGATACATATTTTGAAACAGTTGTGAACAAGGGTCTATATGGATTTTGTAAAAGTAATAGAGTTAAAGTAGTAAATTTTGCTGTCTGAAGTCTGATATTCAAGTGAATCACAACACATCAGAATATTTAAAAATGCTTGATTTTACTCTCATGAATATGCCTCATAGAGTGTTGAAGTTCTTCCAACATTACAGAAAACCTTGTAGCTGCAGTCTTCAGGGTTAATGACTTAGGGGTATGGCAACTCTTATATATAGGTGTTCACATTAGATACTTTGTTCAAAATGAAGCCATGATTGGATGAACAGATCCACTGAATTCCCTTTCCTATCCGCATGGGAGGAGGAGGAAGAGGGAGAGGGAAGAAAAGGAGAAATTTCCTATCACCTCATGTCCTAAAAACAAAAAACGAACTCCTTGGTTTTACTAATGTTATATTTTAACGTCCTGTTGCACTGATTTAAGTCCATGATTTATTTAATCCGTCTTGCAGTGCATACACTCATTTATTTCCTTCTCTCCCTCGCACTACATGTTTCGGCATAATAATGCCATCTTCAGGTGCTTACTTATCCACGTCAAACCAGTTCATTGCATGCCATGTTCACACATTAAAATAACTAAAATATGTATCTATCATATACATTGTCAAACGTTAAAAATATTAAAATTGTTCAGGATACCACATCGCTACGTCGCCCCTCACTACGTCAGTCACGCCCATTCTCCTTTGTTGGAGCACTCCNTATATGATAGATACATATTTTAGTTATTTTAATGTGTGAACATGGCATGCAATGAACTGGTTTGACATGGATAAGTAAGCACCTGAAGATGGCATTATTATGCCGAAACATGTAGTGCGAGGGAGAGAAGGAAATAAATGAGTGTATGCACTGCAAGACGGATTAAATAAATCCTTGGTTTTAGTCTTCAAGTGAACTATACTGACTAAGTGAGCAACTGCCACTTGTCAGCGAAGTTAGTACCAACATTAGCAGATAGACGGTGTCGCATGGTCAAAGCAATGAATCCCTACAGCTGTTAATTTCGGTTTTCTATACCAGAGCTGGTATTTCCTTGAAATAGCTCCACAATTATCCTCACAAGGCTGAGTGGATCCCGTTACAGACCCACTACTTCTCAGAAAATCTGGTGGTGCCAGGAATCAAAACCAGATCTCTGGATCTGTAGCCAGGAACTCTGACCACTAGACCACAGCGGCAGTCATCCTAAACACAAGGTGCCTGAAATATTTTTCATCACCTTCTGAGGACCACCCGATCAGCAAACATTTTGCATCACATCATTTCATTACTCATGTAATTGCTGAAACATTTTAATAACCTCTTTAGAAGCTTATCATAACTTCAGATCATTTTTCATCACCACGTCCCACTACTTATTTACTTACTCATGGAGCTGAGCCCATCTTGAGGAGTGGCCAATTCTGCAGCTACTCAAGAATTTCCCACGATTTTATTGAACCCAAAGGTTCATTACCATTTTCACAAGAACCTTCCACTGGTCCCTATCCTGAACCAGACCAATCCAATTCATACCATCCCATCCTATCTCTCTAACATTCATTTTAATATTGTCCACCCACCTATGCCTTGGTCTTCCCAGTGGTCTCTTTCCTTCTGGCTTTCCCACAAATATCCTATATGCATTCCTCGTCTCCCCCATTCGTGCTACATGCCCTGCCCACCTCATCCTCCTTGACTTGATCATTCTACATAATTATACCTGGAGAAGAGTACAAGTTATGAAGCTCCTCATTATGCAGTTTTCTCCAACCTCCTGTAACTTCATCCCTCATCGGTCCAAATATTCTTGACATCCTCTTCTCAAACACCCTCAGTCTATGTTACTCCCTTAATGTCAGAGACCAAGTTTCACACCCATACAGAACTACAGGCAAAATTATAGTTTTGTATATTCTAACTTTTATGTTTTTGGACAGCAGATGAGAAGACAGAAGGTTCTGGACTGAATAGTAGCAATCATTACCCAAGTTCAATCTCCTCTTAATTTTCTCCTGAATCATGTTTTGATTTGTTATTGTTCCCAAATATCTGAACTGTGCTACATTTTCAAAACATCTGTTTCCTATCTTTATGTCATGATTCTGCCCTGAATTTTGGTGATGAGACAGCAACATATACTTAGTTTTCTCTGTGTTTACTTCTAGACCAACCTCCTTACTTGCGTCAATTAAAGTTTGGGTGTTTTTCTTTATGGTATCTATATTATCACCCAGTAGATTCACATCATTGGCATAGACCAACAGCTGATGTGTCAGGTTTAATTTCAGTCCCACCTGGTTTTCCTGGGCCATCCTAATGGTGTATTCTAAAGCAAAGTTGAAAAGGGGTGGTGATAAAGCATCTCCTTGTTTTAGACCATTCTGGATAGGAAAGTTATCAGAAAGTTGTTTACCTATGCAGACTTCACTATACGTTTCCTTTAAACATACTTTAATCAGCCTAACTAGTTTCATGGGTATCCCAAACTCTATCAGAATATTGTACAATATTTCTCTCGTAACTGAATCATAGGCTTTCCTGAAGTCTATGAATAGCTGATGTACTGTCCCATTGTACTCCCATTTTTTCTCCAATATCTGATGAATGCAAAAGATATGATCTGTAGTTGATCTGTTACATTGAAACCCACACTGATGATCCCCAATAATTTCATCTATATATGGACTTAAACTTGAGAGNGAATTTGATCACTACCTGGCGATTTATACCATTTCAATTTTTCAATAGCACTTTCAACCTCAAAAGGACTAGGATCAGGTACTAACAGCTCTGCTATATGGATTTCTGTCTGCCTAACATCACTGGCCCTATGTGGATTCAATAACTGAGAGAAGTAGTTCCTCCACTTATTCAAAATGTTGTGGGAATCTGCAAGCAGATCACCATTCTCATCCTTCACTAAGTTTCTGCTAGGTTGCTAACTCCTCTTAAAGTCATTTATTCCTCTATACAGGTCTCTAATGTTCTTGTTCTTACTGTTCATTGCAAGCTCTTCAATT